TTTTTTTTTTTTTTTTTTTTTTTTTTTTTTTTTTTTTCCCTTGCACTAAAGACTCTCTGACTTTGTACGATTTTTCCGAGATCCTCGCTAGGTGGGGTGCAATAGGAGATACAGGCGGGCAACGTGTGATACCTCTTTTACAATACACAACAATTCTTGTTGCTTAGAACAAAACAACTCGCAAAGTTAGGTTTATAAATGCTTTTGTTTGCTTGGTTAAAAGTACATCTGCATTGTTGGTAGTTGTATAAGTAAATCATTCAGTGAATAAACATTTACTTATTTTTATTTATTATATTTCAGTATATGTAATTTACTCATGTGCATAGTATATAATATATGTGCCCCTCTTTAGTACAAACACTGTATCTCATTTTTCTTCGCCATTAGGGTAAAATTTTTTTTTATTTTTGCTCTTTATAGTAAAGGTTTCAAGGTTTTTATCTCATTTTCCACCTTTCCCGATAATAACCACCCACGAAAGCTTGTTCAATCACCAGAATGTAATTTTCAAAACACCGTTGACTTATCTACTCGTGCAAAAATGATTGTTACTCAAATCGGTTAATTATAAAACATAATACTTACTATAATTTAAATGATAGGCACCGTAGGCGGGGAAGGTGTGATCTTCATGATTTGTGTGAAAACGAGGAAAATTGTTCCTGAGTTAAAAATTCTCAAATGCTTGAAAAATTTTGTTTCATTTTCGATCCAAAAATCAAAAATATTTAAGTAAGCTAAAAAGATCTTCATCATGAGTTATGTTATTATTGTATAAAAGTTACCTCAAGGATCTGCTTAGATGTATAAATAAAAGGAAAATTTGTCCTTTCAAGTTTAAAATAGAAAACAACAACAAAATGCATGTTAAAAAAATGTATCCGTTTTTTTTTTTTTTTTTTTTTTTTTTTTTTTAAAAAAAGGTTGTTTTTTTTTTTTTTTTTTTTTTTTTTTTTTTTTTTTTTTTCCCTTGCACTAAAGACTCTCTGACTTTGTACGATTTTTCCGAGATCCTCGCTAGGTGGGGTGCAATAGGAGATACAGGCGGGCAACGTGTGATACCTCTTTTACAATACACAACAATTCTTGTTGCTTAGAACAAAACAACTCGCAAAGTTAGGTTTATAAATGCTTTTGTTTGCTTGGTTAAAAGTACATCTGCATTGTTGGTAGTTGTATAAGTAAATCATTCAGTGAATAAACATTTACTTATTTTTATTTATTATATTTCAGTATATGTAATTTACTCATGTGCATAGTATATAATATATGTGCCCCTCTTTAGTACAAACACTGTATCTCATTTTTCTTCGCCATTAGGGTAAAATTTTTTTTTATTTTTGCTCTTTATAGTAAAGGTTTCAAGGTTTTTATCTCATTTTCCACCTTTCCCGATAATAACCACCCACGAAAGCTTGTTCAATCACCAGAATGTAATTTTCAAAACACCGTTGACTTATCTACTCGTGCAAAAATGATTGTTACTCAAATCGGTTAATTATAAAACATAATACTTACTATAATTTAAATGATAGGCACCGTAGGCGGGGAAGGTGTGATCTTCATGATTTGTGTGAAAACGAGGAAAATTGTTCCTGAGTTAAAAATTCTCAAATGCTTGAAAAATTTTGTTTCATTTTCGATCCAAAAATCAAAAATATTTAAGTAAGCTAAAAAGATCTTCATCATGAGTTATGTTATTATTGTATAAAAGTTACCTCAAGGATCTGCTTAGATGTATAAATAAAAGGAAAATTTGTCCTTTCAAGTTTAAAATAGAAAACAACAACAAAATGCATGTTAA